TTTATGGGTAAGGATTTAGCAGAGATCAGCTCAAAAATTGAAAAGAATTTTATTCAGCTCAAAATTGAAAAGAATTTAGTTTTATATAAAGAATATATAATTCAGAATTTTATCAATGTTGTACGCAAAATTCAGCTCACTGAGCACCACATAACATTGGTGTGTGGTGCTAACAAGATGGAGAAAGTCGTAGACGGTGAAACGAGAGCGAGTCCGCGTCTGTGATTTTTTCAGAGCGACCACTTTTTCGAGATCATCGACTGCAAAATTCAGGTCGGAAACGACCAAAATCTCACTCCCCTACATTCCACGTGCCTGCCCCTACAGCAGCAATTCATTTAACGCCAATTAATAATTTCCCAAACTAATTGCCAATTAATGCAAAAAAGATCCTCGATGAGTCATTTCGATACCATGATTAAGCATAAAATTTGAATACCAATATCAAAAAAACTAGCCTCATTTATTGCGCGGTGTGTTTTGATGAGAAGCATTCTAAATAAAGCGCCAAAAACGATTAAAAGAAGTATTGACGATTTATGATGTGAATATTGCGTTTGTATATTAGTCTTAACAATTCGACATTCACAATGAAATCATGATAGACGACGATTACTGTACGTCGAATTTGTCGATTATAGAAAGACGATTATTCACTTAGGAAGATTGAGAATTGCGATTGTGTGATGATCAATTTGAATATAGTCAAGGAACAAGAATGATTTGAATAGGGAGATAGATGATGAAACGATAATAAAACTTTAATAGCTACTTTCAAGTACATCATCAAATAGTGATTAAATGTTGCAAATTCGACTGAGAAAAAAAAACGAAAGCGACGAACTTTTGTTTATATTAATGAATTATACGAGAAAATGAATTATTAATGAATTATACGAGAAGAGACAGAATCTTTTTTATTAAGGCAATAAAAAACTCTGAAAACCATGAAGGAATTCCACAGAAAAAAACTGTTTGTCGGTGTTCTAATGGCAGAATGAGAAAAAAGAATCAGACCACATTGATTCGTGCTAAAAGTGCTGTTTGCGTTACCGAATTTGATATATTCGATCAATTGGCTTGATAAAAACGATGCATTTNCAGTAGTGTATGGATAATGGATATATTCAGAGGTCAGCTCATCACTGTATCGCGACAATCACCATACGTATACATAATGAAGTATGAACTGAATAAAAACAAAAGAGGAAAGGTTACTGAATAAATGAGTGAAGGAATGCATGAAACTTATAATGTATATCGCGAATATTACACCAATTAGCGGACAAAAACACTCGAATCTGAAAGACGCTTCAAAAATTAATTGAGATTTTGAAATGATTATATTCGAGTGATACGCATGAACGGCCAAGGAATGATGAAACTAATTACGGTAGGTAGCGATTTTAACGAAAGATGTTTTTCTTTTTCTGAAGATAGAAGAGGATAGAAGCACGAGTTCCGAGAAAGAGAATCAATCAAAAATGAGACAGTCTCAAAAGATTCACGATGATCGGTTGCTGGTATTTGATTACGTTAATCGTTCACTATAACAATCTCGTCTTTTTATGAAACTAATTTGTGCGGCTGAAAAAATCACCATTTTATGTCGAATGCAGGACGAAGTGAAACCCATCAAAATGCTCGTGAAAATACTTTATTTCGTTCCATTGATCCAGAATGTTTCCGAATAATTAAATGATTGATTGGCTATTGTTATTGCATGATCTTGTTATCATTCCTCAGGACTGGGGAAAATAATGGTTGAGGTTCTTTAAGAATGAACGATTTGTGAGGGCACAGTCATGTTCATTTTTTGGAATATCTTCCATGCGAACAATGTTCTAACAAACTGTATAATGTATTTTCTGATGCCTTTTTTCATCAATGTTTGCTTCCGTTTGTTAGGTTCCTACGCAACCACATGATCTTTCAACTAGCCGAAAACTAGTGAATAATCTCTTGGGTTGCTGGTCACTTGTTTCGGCAACCCTTCAGAACCAAACTTTAACGACAACCGACTTAGAGTTTATGCATCAACATTTGAACTCACAGAATAAATGATCGAAACAAGAAGATAATGATTCTCTCAGAGGCGTATGCAAGCTTTTAAAATTTTGTATGAATTGTAACTCTTATTACCTAAAAGTACCGCTGACAAAAATACTAAGAATATATGTCGAAAGGATTATTACACTTCAAAAACGTCTATTTAGTTCATGGATCATGATTTCATTTGTACCGGTAGCAATAGAGGATATGCAAAGCTAGCTTTTCAATGAAGAATCCGAAAACTGGAAGCATTTCCTTTGAAATTCTCTAGGGCTTATTTAATTTGATGCAATTAATCACTAATATTCCTAAGTTTAAAGCTTCTCAGCGGCAGTGAACACTTTTCTTTGTCAGGAATCGCGCATCTAAAACGATAATAATTCATGAAACCCGCGTCACAAAATGTCAGCACAGTGCAGAATTTATTTAACTGTTCAATAATTGCAAGGTGTACATATGCAATTATTTGAAATATGTAAGTGGAGTGCAATTTGAAATTGCATTCTACTTTTTGTGTGATGGTGTTCAATCATAAATTGCACTCTTGCATGTTCACGTCAAGCCGAAACACTCCAATGAATTATTCAACCAGTCATGACCGCAAAAAACAAAACCAATTGGATATTCACTGAAGCGAGTCTCAACGACAACGATCACCTCAACTTATTATCATCGCTATTGTTATTATTAATAAAATATTTTCCTACATGAAGAATGTTTGCCATAAATTCATCTATTATATTCGTACGTTCATATATGTTTGTATTCATCTGTAATGTACATGGATGTTCGTGCAGTGCTATTAACGGTTTTATTGGCGAGAGAGACGGTGAACAAATCAGACGTTTGGTTTCGCATTCAAACACGGAATAATCGAAGAATCAAAACAGATTGCTAACACAAAGGTTGACGAAGCGAATTTGTTCCCCACATTTATGAATGAATTCATGAAGATCACAATCACTCTCGAATACAAATAAACAATTCGAGAAGAAAGAATCAACAATCAAGTAAACATCATCATTTGGAATTGTCACATGCTCACCTACTCGCGAGACCATGATGTAATGCAAACAAGCGAAATTCATCTGTTGCTCTGTTGAATGATCGAACGACGAGACGATGGATTGTGAAGAAATGATCATTTGCACAATACAAAATGCGAAAGACCGTAAAATAAAATACGTAAAATGATAAAGGGAATAATGTTCGAAAATTAGATGTGATTGCGCTCATACACCTATTTGCTGACTTGAATGATATTATTCAGGGGTTGGTGAATATTACCATAAAGCTGTTGGTGCTATCTTGTGGTGTTTGTTAACCATAAAATAACAACACTCCATCTATGCAAACACACTACACTTATTCTCCTGCAGTTGCATAGAATCTGATTGCTCCAACATTACTTCATATACGGAAACCACCATCAATCATGTTATTATAATCTAAGATTTGATAAAGTATTCTACTGCAGAAAAGGTATGGTCCATTTAGTAGTTCGCTTCATTACGTGCCATAGATTATTGTTCGTTATAACCACGTTTCTCTTTCAAGACTACTAGCTTGCAAGATAATTACTCTCTGTGACACCCTGAAAATCTATCGCATTGTTTCATGTGCGGCTGCATGAAATGCATTGGAAGTGATTATGTATCTAAAGGAAACGAGCGAAGCCTCTTAAGATGCTCCTAAAAGCGCACTCATATCAACCAAACAGAAAACGCGCATATATAGAATCAACAAAGGTGCAATGCCATATGCAGAAGAATGTTTCGACGACCTTAGCATTCGTATCATTCGTAATCGCATCATTAAAGCAAAAGATTATTACGTAGTGATATTGATCAAAAATCTCAATTACCTAACGAAAGCCATCAAGGCTCTATGAGAGTAATAACTCGTGTACTGTCCAAAAGTCCACATCATGACAATTAGTTTAATAACATTCCCAATACCAAAATATAGCATCGATTGAAAATTTGAACTTTCTTCCGTTTGTTTCAAAAAGTCGAAAAGTGCTTGCGAATCTCTTCACTAATCCGATATACAATAAGTAATTCAATTTCTAATTAGTTGCTGTTAAATGACCATGATCAGCTACTCAGCGGAAAGACGGGACTAATTGGGAGAGATTTAAACTTAAATAAATTAACACATTCATCGAAGACGTATTTATGGTCATTCAATCGTGCTTTTTTACAGTGGAAATCGCTGTTTATCTGTGTATGATGTTGTTTTAGACACATAGGCGCATGTAGAACAGATGATTGAGAATTTGGAAATGAGAATGCGAATTAATAAGAAACTAACCGGTTCAATCGACTTATAACAAATAATCGATTACCAAAAACCAGCTTTTTACAACTTCTCTTCTTTCCATCGTCATCGCATTCCACTGATTTGAGCTGTTCACAAAAAGTCAAATTATGGGTTTGCATTGTTTTGTAAACAAATAATTTGTATTTCGTGGACAATATGGTAGATTTATGAACGCTGGAACAAAAAACAAAAAACAACACTCTTCCTTTCGTGAATTGCAGTTGACTGGGTGTGGGCTTGCGAAAAATGCTATCGTTATCCATGTGACAGTGTAATTTGAAGACTGAATCTCAAATTCACAACTGCACCAATCATTGCGCTTTATTCAACATTCTATTTGTACCTTCAACATGAACCTTTGAGAAAATGATTCCAAAGCGATGAGATCGTTTTGAACTAATTCAAGCAACTGATTCCGAAGAATGCAAATGATTCGGAAGCAAAATTTTACAAAAATGAAGAGCAAACTGAAAATATTGTTGCATTGAATTTATCAATACTTTCCCAAATCACTTTCATTCATTTTCAAATTCTAATCATTTGCAATCAATCGTAGGTTATGAAACAATGAAACCTGTTATTATTGTAATTATTCATTATATTTCATCGCCACTTTTTCCATTTTCATGATGCTCACGTACATTTTCTACCGCATTACAGGTTAGGTTCCTCCCTGAGTTTAACGACAATGAGGGATAATCCGAGCAAATGCAGTACTTTTCCACGTGACCAGGTGAACATGCAATCTGATTCTTCGTTTACGACATTACATAGCAGCATTCTTGACTTTTGAATCACATGATGTACAGATGAATGAGCTACATTCCTCCTTTCAGTGCTACATGCGCTTGGTTATGACGAATCTAGTTTAGACCCAGGAAAACAAAAACGTCTATATCATGATAGCACTATGCGGAAAGTCGAGCACACAATGAAAGTGCTATAAATTCGTTTGTATGCTTGTTTAGTGTTCATCTTTCAGATCTCGAGCAGTAGGCATACACCTGCGTATGCACAGCAAACCACTGAACGAATACGATCAGGCAGTGGACAACAACAGAGAGGTGTTAATCAACTGATATCATCGAAGTTTTATAAGTTATGGAAAAGTTTCGGCAACAACAAAATAAAATATATAGATCTTATTGTATGATCCTATAGAAGCACTTGAAATGATATCTCGTTTCTTAACGATGAGAGACTCAAATCTGACAACTTCTCGAGATTTAGAACTGTGAGAGAATTTAACTCGAAACTGAAATGTTCGGTGGAAAAATTGTTTTCCGTTCCAGAAAAATACCAGAACAGTTCCGCAGAGTCAAGGATCATACGCAATCTTACCAAATATCAATACCACACGAAAGAGCCCTCAACGCAAAGGAACACGTGGGGCCGATCGTTCCGGAAGATTTATCGCGAACTCGTCGAGAACGACGATGAGACACCGATAGATTACGAAGAAATTCAGCGTGAAGAAGTGCTTGACGTGCACGGAAATGACGCAATGTAAGACGCATTCAACGAGAAAAATAATGATCGTGGTAGATAAAATGCAAATATGAATTAAACATAATTTCTCACTCCTTCTTCCCGAACTTCTTGCAGTAAACTCTGAAATTCACCAATCATCAATTCTAAGAAAGTCAATAAATCGTTAATGAATACCTTACCTTACAAGAAGTAATCCTTTCTCAAATAAATACGCTCATTCTTTTCTTCACTATGGTGGGACATACTTATTTTGGACTTCACAACAATTATTATTCTTATTATTGTTATTATTATTGTTATTATTATTATTATTATTGTTATTATTATTGTTATTATTATTATTGTTATTATTATTTTTTAATATTATTATTACGTGTAACATTACAACCAGTGACGGAAGCAGAATGAGAACAAAGACTGTGCTCAGCTCAGGCTTATGAACCTGAGCACTGAATCGTGAGTGAGAGAGCCAAAAATCGATAAGTTTGAAGATATGAAGTTCAAAATTTACCCCGCTTTAGGGAATAGTGAGCGAAATGCATCTTTTTTGGTGAGGGTTTTCATTAATGATGTCAGCAGCGATGCTAACACCACTGAGCAAAATTCCTTCGGAAACTCTCGTGAACCGACAAACAGTTCTGTTCTAACTACACAGAGGGCAAATCATTTCCCCATTCAAATAACAAGTGCACAGTTCCATAAATTTACCACCATCCGAAGTTCAGTCGAGACATAAAACAATGGCTACGATAAATCATAAATCTAGAATGAAACAATAGGTGTAATAAAAAGATGGCACAATAGCAAAGGATATAGTAGTGCCATTATGATAGCAGTGGTAAGAAGACCGAAGTGGAAAAGAAGAAACATCAGTGTTGTTAGGAACAAGAGCAATGCTGACAGCATTAATCAGCAGTAATTGTTGATCATAAGTGGGCACGAATGATGCTTAATATGGCAGCATTACAAGCTGATTCTAATGAATTAAGATTCATTTATGGAAATTATTAGTGAATAAGCATTTGCTGATTCAGAGTATTCAATTGACGTCGAATAAGTCTGACTGTGAGTAATCTGAATAATTCGGAATGTGAACAAGCCAAATAATAAATTGCAACGTTGTTTTCGTGCATAAATCATGCATTTTTACGATTTACTTTGGACAAATTTTTATTTTCATTCATACGAACGATTATCAAATAATTCGTAAGTGAATCATTCATTCATGAAATACTTCTTTTTTGAACCATCTTTTGGCATATGATTTTCATAGTCTAAAATTCACTTAAATAAAAGAAGGCGCCAGCCAGAATGCGTCGAAAATGTCATCAATTTGCAGGCGCTGGAATGCTCAACGCTTGCAAGAAGTCAGAAGATGCGAAGAATTTGTGAAGTCACCAATTGAAACATTGAACAAACGACAAAAACCAATTCTGACACCAATTCGGGTGGTAATTGAAGAAGAAATACCGCTCGATGACGTTCATGCCAGGTCAACAAGCAGCATTCCGAACGACTGTCATATGGAAAGAGTGCATAAAAATGTTTTATTTCATGAGAAGCAATATCACGAAATTGGAACCGTCAACGAAAAGACTGCCACTAAGAAACTTTCGACTGCTGAAGAGATGAATCGATCGCGATCACCCAATACCTCACCTTCTACAATTCCACCTCCGCCTCCTCCACTGCCCCGGGCCTTTTTAGCTGGATCATACTCTCAACAGTTGCACAGTTCAAAA